CAACAAACATGCCCATCAAAGAGGAGGGAGGGAAGTCCGTGTCTGGCACAGGATACTCTCTCTCTCTCTCCTCCCTTCTGCTGCTAATCCACCTCTTTCTATTGGTTGGTGTCGTCTGCTCATGGTTTTTCATACTCCGTTAGCTTTTATTAACATTAGTAGATATAGCTCAGCCCTGCAGAGCTTTCAGCTGCTATCAAATCTGCACTAGCCAGGGATATTAATCATGATTCTGGTTGTCTCTGTCTCTCGGTCTCACTTGAGTGTCACTGCCTCCCAGCCCTTCACTCCCCCTATTCTCTGTCCTTTAAGAGTCCTAAGGATACCCCTGACAGTCTTCTTTAGCTCTGGGTCTCCTCTGTCAGCAACATTTTCTTGGCTGTCATCAGATAATTCAAAGTACTAATGATAAAACAATGTTTTTGACTGCTGCTGAAGTCAGCGATGCCCTCGTATGAGATCTGGCTGGCTCTGTAAAGCACTGCAGAACTTGGTGGTGGGAGAGAGGAATACCAGGGTATATAATCTTCAGCTCTCACTCCTAAACAGTTTTGCCTTGTGTGTCTCAAATTTTTGGTTTGCTTAAAAAAAACGTGGTTTTAAACTCTGAATCCCCAGCTTCCTCCCATTAACCAAAACAGCCTTCCAGCCTGACTCATCCAGAGGTGCAGGACCGCTCAGTGGCATCAGGGAAGGCTGCATGGCACTGATAGTGACTGGGAGGCATGTGGTGTGGAAGGCGGAAGCCCTTTTAGGGATGCCAAGTCATGGGGAATGAAGTTGTGAAAGCAAAGGATGCTGGAATCTCCAGCCCCCATTTCTTCACATTCTTCCAAACCGCATAGAGCCTCTTCCCATCCATGCTGTAAGCGCAGGCTCTGTTGATATGTTCTCTGCTCTGGATATTTTGAATGGGGTGAACACAGGCTGCACAGCCTTCCCCACCCTGGTGCCCAGCCTTCTCAGGATACCCTGCCTGCATGGAGCTGCCGTCTAACATTTCTGGAGGGCACCAGGTTGGAAAAGCTAACTTTAGATGTATACATGGAAGGCAGGCAGGGCCAGTGGGCACTGTTGCAACCTCCATAGGTGTGTGTGCACTGTGTGATTTTTGCCAGAACAGTTGTGGAGTGTTGGTCTGGTTGGGGTCAAGTCCCTTGGTCAACTGTTGGGTCAGAAAGATTTCTCAGTCTAACCTGGACCAAGAACTGCTGATATTAGTGTGTGGAGGCGGTAGGAGAAGAGACTGGATGTTATTCTAAGCTTTGGTTAGTGGGCAGTATAGGAATGTAATACATTCTTGAGCTGCTTAGAGGAAGGGCAGAATAAAAAAGCAATCTATTGAATATATGCACAGTATAAGATGAGACCAGAGGTCCATCTTGTCCACCCACCCTCCTGTTTCCTGCAGCGGCCAGCAAGCTCACTGATGTGTGTTTTCCGTTTTCCTGTTTTTAATCTGGAAAAAAAAAGGCTTTTTGCATTCATACAGAACAGTTGTAAAAAATATTGAAAAGATGTTGAGGGCTAAATGAATGAATACTTTACTTTACAGTTACTTTAAAGAAGCCAAGAATTCAGCTAAACTTTGTGGTGTTTACTAGCAACAGCGACTTGAAGTGGGAACCAAAGGTAGTTGGTTGGATTTTTTTCCATTTTGTTCTTATTTAAGAATTGTACAGAGTTGAGAGAACATTTGTTTGGAGCATTACACTCTTGGCTCTATAAATACTAGTTTGATCACGTTTGCAATAACAAATTTTACAGGATTTAATCTATTATTAAGATAATGCCCATTATGTTGTAGCTGGTGTGTTCGTGTTAACTGTGCTGAGTTTTCTGGGTGCTTAAAGCAGGTGTTTCTTAAAAAATTCCATTAATGTTTTATGTGGTATTCACCAGGCTCATGGAATTGAGGGAAAATATCCCATTCTTGCTTTGCTCTATTGATGTTGGGAAACATCTGGAATGCCACTCAGTGTCTCTAATACAAAGCAAGCTTAGAGTTACCGTTGCTTCTTTGTACTGTGTTTTCAGATATGGTGGACATGCGAGTTGCATATGTAGTGTTCATATTCCATACACTGTATATTCCATACACTGTACTGTACAGAGATAGAAGGGCCTACACTGGAGGCAACCAGTTTCGCCAGAACTCAAACCTCTTAGGTTGTATGTTGCATGGCAGCCTCATACCACGAGTGGACGTGTTTGGAAGCCTGCATAATTGTTTATCAAGTACCTGTTGTACTAGGCTAACAACTTGGATGCATCCCTGTGGCATAGAGCCAAACTGCATTGTGTGGAAGGCGATCCCAAGAAAGCAGACCTCTTTACTCTCAGAAGCTGGCCACTCTGTGGGACTAGAACTTGATCCTGGCGGAAAGTTGTATGCTTGGAAATATCTGTGACCATCTTTTCCTGCACAAAAAATAAAAAGTAAAGAATTGATAACTGCATGCCACCCACGACTGCGGTGCTGTAAAGCAGATGTATCACAGTGTGAGCATTGACATATGCAGCAAAATGAGGTGATAGTTTCTTGAGGTAAAATGGAGAGCATCCCCATCCTAAATACCACCACCTCTTCCCCAGTTGCTAAACTAGTGCACAGAGAGCATCTAGATTCTTTCTCCCTGGTGTGTTAGTGTTCCGCTTACAGCGAGTTCCCCTCCACCCATGGCAATCCCCCACAACCCACACACACACGTGCAGCCTGCAGTGGTTCTGCCTATACAACCACCTCATTGGTGCTTTGTGGTTTCACAGATTCATAGTTGGGAAGGGGCCATTAAAGCCTTCAGGTCTAACCTGCACATTGTTGGAAGCATTTAAGATAACTGCATCTTGAATGCCTCTGGTGTGGGAGAGACCATGACCTCGCTAGATATTTGGACCCACTGTTAATTGCTCTTACGGACAGGGGGTGCTTCCTGATGTCCCGCCAGAATGTGGCTTCTGGAGCCTGAGCTCATTATTTTGTGTTCTGTCCACTGGGGTGGTTGAGGGCAGGTCCTGGCCCACCTCTGTGTGTCAACATTTCAAGTACATCCAACATTTCAACATTTTCCCTCAGGGCTAAAACGTTTTATTCTTTCACTTTCATTAATAGGGGCTTGTTTTCAGTCTCCTGGATATCTTTGTTGTCTAACTCTGAGCCTCTTCCAGTTTGTCTGCATTTTTCTTAAGCTTTGGTTCCCAGGACTGGATGTGGTAGTCTACTGATACTTCTGTTTATGCAGCTCAAAATAGCATTTGCTTTTTTTGCAGCTATATCACATTGTTGGCTCATATTATCTACAGCCATTCCAAGATCCTTCTCATTTGCAGTATTGTTGAGCCATCTTGTAATTATGGATTTGTTTTCTTTTTCCTAGGAGCCAAACTTGGCATTTCTTCCCATTAAATTTAATTCTATTGATTTCAGCTTAGCACTCCAACCTATCAAGATCACTTTGAGTTTCATGTTTGTTTTCCAGGGTATTAGCTCCCCCACCCAATTTTGTTTTCACTCAGCATTTTGCTGTGCCCCTTGTAACTTAAAACAACTTTTTACCTCCTTCCTTGAGGTGTATTTTCATGTTTATGTACTGTTAATGTAACTATCTATATTGTAGCTGAAAACCAAAAAAAGTGAACTGACAGTGAAAGACCAGCAGTAAACAGAAATGTGGCTGATTTTAATTTTGTATGCCACTGGACGTTTGATTGTATCAGGCCACCCAGAAAGATTTTTAAAGTAGGGATGGGGAATTTAGTGCAGTAAAAACTTGGTTTGTGGAATTTTATCAGTTAATCTTCTTCCTTAAAAGATAGTTGGGATTGGTTTCTTGTGATCATCTTAATGGCCATGTGCTGTACTGGATGAATGGACAGAGTCCTTCATGTCTTGGATTTTAAGGTATTGTTCACTTACAGGCTATCATTGTTTCACTTAATATGTTATTCTTCTGAGGCTGCAATGGAGAATTTGGAACTGGAGAAGGTATTCAGTTGTAGTATCTGAAATGCCCCCTGGGAAAGTTGCTCTCTCTCAGGCACTGTTTTTGACTCAAGTGGAGATACCTTGTCTTTTCCTGCAGTAGGCCAAAGAATACAGAAACTACATGAATTGAGTGGAATTGTAGTGCTTTCCCCACCTGATCTTCAACCAAGAAGGAATTTAGTGGTCAGGAAGGAAAGGAACATGTGGCCAGCCTTACAGAATAGTCCTGCCTTGAGACACTTCCTTGCAGCCCTAGGAGATGAGACCATAGAGAAATAGCTCCATCCCGCTAGCATTACATGTCAATGGGTTTGTTATCCACATATTACTTTTGTGAAGAATGGCCTTATAGTGTAGATTAAACAGTGTGATATAAGTAGACTGCTCTTTCGCATATCTTACTCCTGCTGGTGAGTTCTTTCCTAACCCATTCATCGAATGGAATCTCCAGTATTTAAAGGCATACCATCTTTTCCTCCCCTTTTTGCATGTGCAAAAACGGATGATTGCAGGGAAATGGGAGAGTTAGTTAGATGCTGTAACCTGCAGCAGTACCAGAGGGATAAGTCACCATATTTTTTCTCTTTTCAGATTTGCATTATATTGTTCCTCAGTTCATTGAAAGCATTTATGAAGCTTATTCTTAAGAGAATGAGGACTCATTTCCCCCATCACCTCTGATTTCTGCTTGCAAACAGCCTTATTGTTACTGACAAAGTAAACATTTATAGGTTCAGACTCGTAGACTGAAAGACTTTCTTCAGAGATCTTCATACACTCAGCTAGTGCTGACCATGACCCTTAATAGATTTTTTTATGTAACTGGGGCCAGAATCCTTGGTTTGGTAATGCTTCTACATAGGGGGAGTCCTCCCTATCTTGATTTTGACTGACAGTGGTGCAGACAAAACCTTTATATCCTACATTAATGTGAAAAATATGGGAATCCACCATCCACTCAGTATTTTAGGAGACCTTTCTGATTAACTCTGCTCATTTTATTTTTTCCTCTCAGATACTGACGGGCTCCCAGTCAGATGCTCCTCTACAGACTTCTTACCTTCTTTCCTTTGGTCATAAAAGACAGAGTAGTGATCGTGGGAAGACAAGAGCTGCTCTGGGCATTGGATTTTACACTGGACTGCAAGTCGGAGTGAATAACCTGCTCTTCCTGACAGCTGGACAACGATGGAGACTCTGTCCCAGGACACTCTGCTGGAATGTCAGATTTGTTTCAATTACTACAGCCCTCGGCGGCGGCCCAAATTACTGGACTGCAAACATACCTGCTGCTCCGTTTGCCTGCAGCAGATGAGAAGCAGCCAGAAAGACCTGCGGTGTCCGTGGTGCCGAGGAATCACTAAACTGCCCCCTGGATTTTCTGTCTCCCAGTTGCCAGATGACCCGGAGGTCATTGCCGTGATCGCAATACCCCACACGTCCGAGCACACGCCTGTCTTCATCAAACTTCCTAGCAACGGGTGCTACATGCTGCCCTTGCCCATCTCCAAGGAGCGGTCACTATTGCCAGGAGACATTGGCTGCCGCCTTTTGCCAGGCAGCCAGCAGAAGTCTCTCACTGTGGTGACAATACCAGCTGAGCAGCAGCCCTTGCAGGCTGGGGTCCCACCAGATGCGGGAGAGGAGGAGCAAGACAGGAGGGGTATTGTGAAAAGCTCCACCTGGTCAGGCGTTTGCACCGTCATCCTGGTGGCCTGTGTCCTGGTCTTTCTCCTTGGTATTGTCCTCCACAACATGTCATGTATCTCCAAGCGATTCACTGTGATCTCCTGCGGCTGAGGAAGGTTGCAGTGGCAATACTCCGATGGGCTAATTTTAGGGGTGTGGAAGGGTGGTTATGGTGTGGGCAGGAAGCCATGCGATGAAGCACTGTTATGTGGACCGTTCTGCAGTACTGAGTCATTGACACTGGGCAAGCCAGCTGATAGTTCAGAATCTGCTGTAAAAAGTAGGACAGTGAGACCTGTTGGTAGAGAATGGGGCATGTCCAATGCTTATCTGCTGGTAGCAGTATCAAGGAAGACTGCATGCATCACCATACTCACTTAACAAATGAGCTGTAATTTATAATGATTTCATCATGTTACGAGATTAAAGATGTCTGTTTAGCTGGTTCTGCTGTACAAGTATAGGACATGATCTCTCTCTCTCTCTCTCTCTCTCTCTCTCTCTCTCTCTCTCTCTCTCTCTGTGCGTGTGTCTCTCAACCGAATAGTTGATTTGCAAATCAAAATGCTATATGTTAAAGTAGAATTAAACATCAAAATTAAGAAATTCAAGTTACCTAGTACTTTTCCAGGTACAATGGAAACATAATTCTCTTTGATTTTAAACAACAACTGGGGAAATTGTGAAAAGTAAAGTAGTCCTTTAGTTCATGAGGCTTTTGTATCTTTTAAATTGCACATTAATTAAAATGGTTTTAAAAATCTGTGCCAGTTATCGAAAGCTAACAGTTTTTCTAAAGCTTTGAAAGTATTCTGGATGTAATATATCTGTATGTTTATGCACAGTTCTGTAGTTTAGTGATTTTTTTAAATGAAAGAGATCAAGCATAGAAGCAATGGATGGAACTAGGTAGAATATTTAGGTATCCAACCAAAATGTTTTTATATATGTCCCCTTTTGCAAAATACTACTTCAAAATTTAAGTCCCAGGCATGTTGTTTTGAGCACACATAGTGGATATCTTGGATTTCTAAAGAAGTTGTCCTTCCTGAACTACTAAGAGAGGACATAATCCATGATATAGGCTGATCTTCAAAAAAAGATAGCCTAGTGAGTGGGTTTTGAAGTCTTCTATTCAGGTTGCATATACTTTGAATGAACAGAGTTATGCTTATGCATTATTGCCAATGGTGAGATAGTTAAGGTCATCATGATGCTACAGAATGTACGAATAAGCCAATAGAGTGGTACCCTTCTACCCCCAGAGGCATTTACAGCAATGAAAGGGTTAAATTTACAATAACAAGAAACGTAGAAGAAAAATGGGGCAGCAGATGAAATGGTTGGTCAGGGGAAAAGCCTTGAAGGCAATGATGACGAGGAAGGCTATCTCCCCATCCAAGCGTCCATTGGCTGATACAGATTTCCAAGGTGAGCTCCCTCCCTCCTGTGAATCTCAAACAGATTCTCCCACCACTAGGATGAAACTGTTTTTATATGATGTACTGTTTTTATATGCTGGAAGGGAAGGGGGATATTGTTTTGAAATTTGTGCCTCTTGGAGCAGCTGCACTGTACTGCTCATGTTGAGAAAAGCATGGCCCTTGCCTTGGAGGCCATCAGAAAGTATCCAAGGTTGTTGGCTCATGTTATCCTGAATCAGTAATCCCTGTTTGTACAGCCCAAAGTCCCAGGCTGGTTTTAGCTGTACTATCGTCTTCATTTTGTCAGAACATGATGTCTGTTTGCTGGGATTTTGAATCCTATCTATACTGCTGTTTCTCTTGAGACAAAACAGAGGTGAGTCTGGAGTGTATAAACAGAAGGCCTTTAAGGAAACTCCAGGATGGAGAGCTCATGTTTCCAACCAGCATGAGCAGGTACAAATGGATGAATTCCTTCCTCAATTTTAGTTGTTGAATACTGGACTTTTGATACATTCCCAGCTTTCTCCAAATTAATACAGTGTTGGTAGTTGCCTGCCATCTCCATCATATGTTGGTGGAAGCCACTGGATGACTACCCTTCCATTCTTCACTTCATGGGCCTGCATGTTCCTGGTGTTATAACCTTTTATTTTGCATGCTTTTAGACCAACCTTCCCCAGCCTGGTGCCCTCCAGGATTTCTGGACCCCAACTCCTGTATTTCTGACTTTTGGCCATGCTGACTAGAACCAATGGGTGTTGAACTCCAAACATCTGGAACGATCAAGTTCAGGAAGGTTGCCTGAGACCCATTCTATGGTTCGGTTTTACATGATAGGCATCAATATGACATTACTTGACATAATGTAGATGGGACCAGGCAAGACAATTAGATGTTATGTGGTGCAGCTCTTTCTGGACTGTACTTAAGACTGCAAGTGAGGCATCATATGCTTGATTTTCCATTCAGTAAATTTCTTGCTTGTAACCAGATTTCTCCAGTGCTATCATCTGAATCCCCTTGAAGATCTTTAGCTCTCTAACGTGACACTGACTATTCTTTCTTTTTACTCTTCTCTTAACAGTTTGTCTTCTTCACAAAGCACCCTCTTCCATGCGTCCTTGGTATGGTTCCCTAATCTTTGTTCTTTGGTAATCTTTCACCAGCTTCAGGATGACTCCCTAGACTTTCATTCATCCCATGCTGCCCTTGTCTTACCTGCCCCCACAGGCTTCATTGCTACGTGTTTCAGCTTGTAAGCTCATTGGGGGATGGGTACCAGTCTCTTTGCTTGATTATGAAACTTAATAAGTGTTATGAACACTTAGATGTGCCATTGAATAAATAATAAATGGAAAGCATGTTGGGGGAAAGACTAGTTTTGAATTTTTGATCTTGACATGTCAGTGTTATCTGTGCAGGAAGAAGATAGTGTTTTTTAAATTATTTTAAAATATTGTTCTTATGATGACATGGTGGATTGACATAAGTGCTACTCTTGTTTTGGTATCTAGTTTTGTGTAGCTACATCTGAAGTGGATCACATGCCATAAGAAATAAGACTCCTAGAACCAGAGTTCCACATGGTCAGCTTCTTCTCCAGCTCATTAAGCAAAGAAATTTGCAGCTCTTTAATGCTACCCTGTAGTGAAGATCTTGAAGGAACAGAATCCCAACACCAGCTTGCCCCATTCTGGAGCTTTTCAGATGTGTTGGACTTCAACTCCCCGTGAGCATGCCAGTGCATCTGGAGGGCCCAGATTTGGAGAATATTGTCCTGTCTGTTTTGGAATATGGTCAGTATACCCCTGAAGTAAAGGAACTCATTGGACCACATTAAGCTGTTTGACTACCTAATTACTGAGGCAGAATCCTTGAGTCTTGGATTCCCTGTGTAAATTAAAATTAAAAAGAATAACAAAATGGATAAAACCCTGCTCCTCTTCCTCCTCTGCATAGTGCTTGTATTAGAAAAAGATGAAGGCATGTTATTGAATTGGCAGAAGTATCTGGAAACAGTTCTTCCATGAAATAAACTATTTGGTTACTGACATAGTTGTATTATATAAATGTTCATGCCCTGTGATATCAGTGGGCAATACAATATGTAACTAAACAATTTCTTAGAATAAGTGTAAACATACATTGATTCATTGTCATTGTTCTTGAATTGGGTCCCACAGTTCTGTATGGTGGCACTATCTTCAGTTCTACCATACTAATGCTAATAATACTAATACTAATACTAATACTGATACTACTAACTTAATACTAACTTAATACTAAAAATAATCTGTTTCACCTTAATCTGTCCATACCAATCTGTCTCACCTTAATTTTCATTTGCCTAAAAGGTGGCCTAGTTTTAACACAGAAAAATATGATAGTTTGCCAATGAATCCTGCAGCAGGCAGCCCACTGCCTATCTTCCTGTGGTCAGGTATAATGCTAAGGAGCAGTTGCAGTTATGTATTCTGCGCTCGTTAGCTTTTCCCCACAGGTCAACTTCATTCTCAAAGCATGAACTGCTAGCTGATTTTTACCAGGGTTTTATGTGTAGGCTTGCTACTTATTGCCAGAGGAATTGTAATAGAGAGATGTTCTTAATACCTAATGTATCTGACATGAAATTAAGTTTCTCTAATGCTTTGATGTTGAAAACCTATTTCCATATACATGAGAAGATTTTTTAAGATTTTTTAAAAAGAAACTTGAGTATAGCACTGGCTACAACTTGAAGAAGATTTTAAGGAATGGGTCCTTGGATGGCTTTTGGAAGAAAGCTTGAAGCTTTTGTACCACAGGTGTTTTTACATGCAATTTTTTAAAAGACATTTGGGGATGGGCAAGATAGAAGGAACAGTTTATCATTTGCCTTGGTTCAAAGAACGGTCTGAAAAACACTTCTGCATTCTTCTTTTCCAGTCCCCTTTCAGTGTTCCTGACCCAGGATTTCCTGTTACATGAAGAAGTTGCAGCTCACCTTAGGCTCACATGCTCTGCACTGTAAAATCCTTCCACTCAGTTTTAAACTAACTAAAGTTTCTTGTGGAATCTAAACTTGAGAAACTGGTTTGTTTAAACAAGGGTTTGGGAATAAGCCATATCTGAAACCATGGTTTGAACTTGCCTTGTTTTCTCTAACTATACAAATGGCTGCTTCACTATACGTGCATCATTGCAGAGCTGAGAATTTGCAGTAGCTTCATGTTAACTGGATGTTTGGTGGCTAGCATGGTGGTTGTTTCTGATGTGAAATGGTTTTCTGAAGCTAAACTGATTTGGGACTTGTCTGGGACTGAAAAGGAGGGCCACCTGAGCATCTATGTGCCTTGCGATTTTTGGAGTGAAGAAGAGATGTAAATGCTAATGAATGCAAATGCCTGCTTTTACGAAATCCCTGCTTTACAAGCCTAGCATTCCGTAGGATGTGGAGTGCCAGAGATGGCAGATGTCAAGCTGTACTGCCAATAGCTTCTCCTTTTGACATTTTCCGATTCTGCTTGTCAAGGTTTTTCATCGGGCGGTCAGCTGGAGAATATTTTTTTATTTGCTGGTGAAGAGATAATTCTTAAGCACAGTAGGCATGAATGTATCTAATCGGGGCAGAACCCATAAAGAAAGCCTAGATCCTTACTGTCAGAATCTGAGATGACACATGGTTGAAGAATCTTATTCTATATTGTTCTTTCTGTCCACAGAACAGAAGTTTATTTTTGTAGTTTATTTTCCCCCCTTGGGCAGAAAATACCAGTGGATTAGAATATCATGATTATTCAGTGTACTGATCTAAAAGCACCCTGAACATGTCTAGACTGTAAGACACTCCTTTGAATTCTACACATTCCAGGGCTGAGACTCAGTTCCAAAGAACAACACAGCATCAGAAGAGCTCATTATGATCAGTTTAAAAATCAAATGCAGGTGTTTTCTGTTGCTGATGCTAATGCCCAGTCCTGACACTTCCCATGGAGACTTGACAGCTCTTCTGAGCTTGGTGTGAACAAAACTGAAAAGTCCTGAGCAAAGTTGTTGGAGTTCCATATGGGATATGAAATTACTGAAAACTTCCTCTTTCTTTAATTCATGACAATATAGCTTTACAAGAACTGGCATAAAAATGAACCAGAGTGTATTGTGTGGAATGTATGACTTCCTTTTTCCATCTAGTTTGATAATTCTGTTACAAAAATAAATCTAACAGGATTGAGACTCCTTCATTCTTGGTTTGGTGAATTGAAGAAAATGGCCAAGAAGTAGCTACTGTCTTTCCCAGCAGAGTTTTCTTTTCAAAAGCTTTGGCACCTGCATGTGGTCACGGAGAAGATGCTTTGGGCA